GTTTTAACCACTTTTTAATCGTGGATGTCCATTGTGAACTGATCTTTGTACGTCGATTATACGACAAATTCACAATTGAATACACACTTTCCAATATCCTTCTTCTATAGACATTACTTTCATTGTCAAAAATGACACTCTCGTCAAATTTAATTGAACAACCTGCATTTTTACTAACATGCTGCACTAATTCTGATCCTTCGACATCAAACTTCTTTAACTTATTTTTGTGTTGTTTGACTATACGCTCAAACGATACCGTCTCACCTGCATACAAATCGGCACATTCACACGGTAAACCATATATTGGGCATTCTCCTGCTTTCTTAATCACAGTACCTCCATTTTTGTAATTTTTAGCTATTCTTTTAGATTTATTAACCATATCTCCTATACTCGGATTTAACTTAGTATAGATTTTGATGTTAAATTTCCTGAGAAAATATCGTAACTTTTCAGTTAATCTGTTGACGTGTGGAATGATAACAATACTAGAAACACCTTCCTGCTTTCGTTTCATCTCAACTTTTTCACCATATTCACATGCTTCTCTTTTATTTTGTTGGATTTTGAACTCACGAAAGATTTTTCTGACTATATTAGGTGAGATAAGCACTGTTCAAATCGTTAGTCAAATCGTTATTATTATGATCAACATTATTATTTGCTATTTGAATCCGTTTAATCATGTTTGTGGCAATGTTTTTCTTCATTGCTTGACTGTGATCAGATTCATAATGAAGTAATCGTTTACTAGCCGTTGGTTTTCTGTACCAATTCGTTTCTAAACGTACTTCATCAGAATTGAACTTAATGCAAACATCTAGAAACGTGATACAATGATTTTTCTCAAATTCCATTTCAAATTTTAAGTTTTCATTCAAATTATTGAACTCTTCAACTAAAGTTTTAATCTGTTTTTCTGTTAGTTCTGACACAATAAGTAAATCATCAACGTACCGAGCTAACCCCGAATATGGGTATCTCTGAAAAGAAAAGAACTATATTACTCGATTAATCATTCAGTAATTTTCGATACTGATAGGTTACCGGTATCAGTATCGAACATTCGATAACAATAACGTTAAGATATCGGTATCCAAGCATAAATCATTCCCTATACTGGACCGGCTTGATCGATTACCATTCTGATCCGCTTCAGCTACTTTAATCGATCGGCTTTTACCGATTGAAAGATAGAAAAAATTCAACGCTTTTTCTTTAAAAATCATTCAGAAAAAAGATCTTAGACAAATGTAAGCGAAATCTTACTAAGATCTTAATAAGATTATTCTAAGATCTTACTAAGATTGTATTGTCTAAGACTTTTTCAAGATTGGATAAGAATATATTAGGGCCTTAATAGCAAGAACGATAACGTTTTTTAAATAATATTTATCCGAGATTCACTGAAAATTTTTCAAGTTTTAATCCGCATTATCCAAGTTGAAGAATGAAGAGAAATTTCATATTTTCAGGTGTCC